TAGGGAGGTGGGACACAGCCATGGGTCCCGGAGCCGGCCCCTTCCCCTCCATCTGCTCTCCTGGCTACGACAGGCAGCCCCTTATACAACCTGCTCAGGCCTCAGTCCCTAAAAGCCCTCAAGTCCTCTCCCTGTCCTTCAGGCCCCATCCAGACTAAGGGGTCAGGCCAAGGGGTCACACTCCCCTCCATCCCAGGAGCTCACCTCAGTGCCAACGAGGCTCAGCACCGCCTGACCCTCCCGCCTGCGCAGGCGCACTTCGCCTCTACCTCCATTACAGGGCTTCTCCTTGGCGCCACTGACACTTTGGCCAGATAATGCTTTGTTCTGGGGGGCATTCTCTGCATTGTAGGATGTTTCGCAGCATCCTTGTCCTCTGCCCACTAGACACCAGTAGCAATCCCCCCAAACAGGACAATCAAAATGTTTAGACATCGTCAAAAAATCACCCCTGGTTGAGAACCGCCGTGCTCTGCTGGGTATTACAGACGCTGCACCCAAGCACCCCCTCCCTTTCCCCACATCTACTAGGTCCCATTTAGTGCCCAGCGCAGTGCCCGACATCCTGAACTGAGCCTCTTCCTGGAGTGACCGATAGGGGGCAGCAGTGACCTATGGGTCACTGGGTAAAGGGCAGTTTCTTATCTGGAACGTAGGATACCTGGGCCTAGGACCAATCCAGGTCAGTCTAGCGCACATGCTTTCAGTGCCTGTTTCCCCTTTCTCAAACTCGAAGAAGAAGGCTGCTCCCTTTCTGGGCCCCCTTCCTCCTTCTCTGTCTTTGATAGTTGCCAAGCACTCCCAAGGACCTTGCACCCCTTTACCGGGTGGGGCAGTGCCACCTGTGTTGAAGGGGAAAGGCTGGGTCCCTGCCAGGCGGATGTGAAGTGGCCCAGAGTTGGGGAGCAGGGAAGAGCGACAAAGTTCTCTGGGAGCATTTTCTTATTCCCAGCCACTCCTTCCGGAGTTCCCACCCTCTCCCCATCCATCCATCCAGCCATCCCCACCTGGGGCAGACCAGCTCCGGATCCTCAGGTAGCTCTCGTAGACAAAGAGAGATTATTGAAGGGCCCATAAGAGCATGGGCTGGGTGGCTGCGAGGTGACTAATTGATAGGAACCTTCCCAGGACCAGAACCAGCCTGGGAAGGAAGTATCAGCGGGCTCGTGATACACACAAGTCTGGATTCCAGCCCCCCTACCACCTGTGTGACTCTGGGCAGGGCACCTTGCAGTCTTCCAGCTTCTGGAATATGAGGTTACTAACACCGCCAACAGCGGGGCTGTTATCAGCACTGAAATGGTGCATGTGAAGCATGCAGCACAATGCCTGGAACCTCAACCTGGGCAGCTGCGCTCTGCTCTCCCCCTCAGCACACCCTCGCACCCCTGTCTTTCATTGTCTTTCGTGCACGCTCACGAGAGGTTTCAAGCAGCAGTCCAAGTTGGGGCCCCTCCTTACACCATGGTGTGGTTGAGGGGTAAGTCAGGGGGTGGCCAGGGCTGCTGAGTGGCTGCCGCCAATGTCCGTTCTGGCCACCCAGCCTTCTGGGTGTCTGGCCCAGACTGTACTCAACTTTTACAGAGGGCTTTTTTCGCGGGGCAGGGGGTGAGCATCCTGGATGGGATGAGAGCATGAAGCCCCTGCAGCTGCCTCAGGAGATTCTGAGAATAGTGGGGGCACGAGAGACCCATCTGGACTCCCTAACGGCTCAGAGCATCTTTGACATACACGGGGGCGATTTCATGGCATGCTGACCTTGGCTCTTTCCCCTACCACCTGGCCCCTGCAGCAGGGGGCCTGGAAGAGCATGACGGCTCCGTGAGCACCCAGTGAGGGCATGGGAGCTGCACTGCATAGGGTTTCTTGTCATCCCCTCTTGGCCTGGCAAGGGGCCGACTGAAGGACTCTTCTGGGGAACAATGGGGATGCTACTCATAGGTGAGCAGGGAGCAGGACGATGCTTCAGCCACCAGGGAGAAACTTTCTGGGCCAAAAGAGCTGTAGGCTTCAGCCCGCCAAGAACCTCAAAAAAGTACGTTGACCCGAGAACCCCAAACACAGACACACACACACCCCTGCTTCCAGTGGACACTGAGATGTGCAAGAGGACTCCCTTTAAAACAGTCCTTTAGAACTCCCCGTGGCGGAGAGACCAATGCTCCAGTGGAAGCCTGGCGAAGCTACTGAGACTTTTAAGTATCTCAGCCCCCAAGAATCCAAGATGAGGTTTCCTCTTCACCCCACGAGCCCTAGCACTCCCACCCTGAAACTAAAATGCTGAATTTGATTGAGCGAATATAGATGCTCACATCACATTAACATTTTGCACATTTTATCTCATATAATCCTCATGACCACCCGGTGAACCAGTGCCGTTATGACCGTAATCTTACAGATGGGCCAAATGCAGCTCATTTTGTCACCTGCCCGGGACACAGAGCTAGTCAAAGGCAGGTGCTGAAGCCGGCACTCTGGCCCCAGTGCCTGCACTTGTAGCCACAAAGACAGAGGGTCAAGTCAGAGCAGGGGGCCACGTGTGGTGAGGCCTCCACTGCAGTTCCAGAGGGCTGCCCCCAGCACTCCCGGCTTCAGGAACCCAGGTCTCCCAGCTGGATTGGGCCTCCCGTATCTGTATGGCGCCCAAGGTCAGACTGCAGGCAGCACCCACCCTTGCCGGGGTCTCTCCAACCTCCCGCCTCCCTCTGCTCCCCTCAGCTCTCCCCACCCCGTACCAGAGAGGGCCAGCATGGACGGGAACTCCCAGCAGTTGTAGACTCCAAGGGAGTCGGTGGCACAGCTATACCAGAGGTTCTCGAAGATGGTGCTGGTGGTGATGACGTTCCCGTGCACGGTGGACACTCGCCAGCTGCTGTGTGTCAGGGTCACCCCTAGCATCAGCAGCCCCAGGGCTGCGATGAAGAAGCCGAAGATCTCCACAGCCACCGACATGGTGGGACACAGGCCCCGGGGAGAGCCTGGGGCCCCAGAGAAGGGGAGGGGCTGAGCCCCAGGGGAACTTGAAGGGGCTTTGGCTAAGGACTGCGGTTAAGGCAGGCTGGGAAGAGAGAGGGAGGCAGGCTGCAGCCTCTGCCTCTTCCTTGGCCCAGGTCTGTCTCTGGTTGGTCTCTTCCCTCTCTCCGGGTCTCTCCGCTTCCCTGCAGGTCGGTCAGAGGAGTGAGACAAGAGTGCACGGCAGCTGTTGAAGAGGAGATGGACGGAATAAACGAAACGGGCCAAAAGTCCACCCCACCCCCTCGTCTCTGGGCTGCCCTGGGCTCCCCGCCCCGCGAGGGTGTGGGGAGAGGACTTACCGGGGAGGGACTAACGGATGCCGCCAAGGAAGGGTTCCCACGGGAGGCACTGGGAGCCGAGGGGAAGCATCCGCTTCTGACTCAGCTTTAATCAGGGGCCAGAGAATGGAGTAAGAGGGACAAGAGACAGAGACGGAGACTGACCACAGGCAGGTCCCCTGCACCTTTCAGTGGGGAAGGGCCAAGGGAGCGGAGCCACCCTCTCTGAATGTTGGTGAGAACAATTCAAGAAACTCAAAGAGCTAGGGCTTGAGGCATTGAGTCTCCAAGGAAGATGAAGGTTGAAAAAGGGAATGGGGAATCTGGGAGAAACCCATGGCTCTGGAATCCAACCAACCTGGATTCACACCAGGTCCCATCATTTACCAAAGGGATGTGGGCATTAAGTTTGAGCCCCCTGAGCTTGTTTCCGATTCTGTGAACTAGAACCACTACTCCTCACTTCATAAGAATTGTGACTACAGATCAAAGCTCCCCGCAGGTATGAATTGCTCGATACTCCATACTTGGTGAATGCCCTGGGTCTGGGTGCCCAAGGGCCAGGGTGAGGCCAAAGGAGGTTGCTTTCCCCCAAACTTCAACTTCCTGAACTTGAAGTTCCCCCCTTGTTGGGATGATCTTTGACTCTCGGCAAAAAGCTTGATCTTGCTGCTAAGGGGCCTCAAGGGGGATAAATCACAAGCCCAGGACGTGATCCTCTGATAAACTAAAAAGCAGAGTTATCAGAACTGTCACCAGCTCTATTAATTATGAGAGATTAGAAACCTCTGGGTCCCCACCCCAAACCGAGGCTGAGCACCTGTCCCGGCACAGAGGGTCTCAGTTCCCGCCCCAAGGCCACGGCTGGGGCAGCTCTGGTTCTCTTCTGGCAGGTGAGGCTGGGGCTCAGTCCAAGGTGCCCGTCCTACACCCAGGCGGTCACATGGGCATCACTGCGCTGAGGTGTAGTCCCCCATCCCCTCCTCCCCGTGTCAGGCTCCTCTGTGCTCCCCCAGGCGCCTCCGCCCCAATCCCCCCCAAGCTGGGCTGAGGAACGAGAAGTATGCAGTGAAGCAAGGCAGGCCCGTGCTGAGCCTGGCACCGGCCGGGTGTTGGGCAAAGCAGGCTGTGTGGGGACTGGGTCCCGACCTTCCTTCTGCAACTGGGATGTCCTGGGTTCCTGACCTCTCCCAAGACCTCTGCCGACTCCACGCCAAATGCCCATTTCCTTCCCCCAACCAGTGGCCCCTCTCCTCTAAGCAGTGGGATGGGGGGGAGGAAGGGGAGGGCGCAGGAAGACAAAGGGAGGGAAGGGTGGAGGTTTTGGAGGAAACTGAGTGGGGGCCCCCCTGGTGTGGAAAACTCCACACGCTGAGAGGCAGCTGAGTGGGTCAGAGGAGATGGTGTCCCTTCAGCTCTGCCCTTTCCGCCTCTGGTCACTGCTTTTTCTCAGGATTCTACATCCGGGCAAAGGGCACGCCCCTATGCCGCCTGCCACTGCTCAAGGACACGGCTGGGCTGGGCTGGGCGGGGTGGGGGCGGGGCGGAGAGGAAGCGTGTAGGGTCTGGGCAGCTCAGCGGACAAAGGAGAACCCCACACCAGCCTGGGGGGCAGGAGTAGGAGGGCACAGAGCAGGGAAGGCCCATGCATGACCCCCACCCCTGGGCCCAACAGAACCTGCCCCTTCCTCAACACAGACACAGAGGTTCCCAAGCCAAAGCCCAATTTTATTTACACTCATCCCAAAACACATGATTTGGGGCTAGGGGACAGGTCCCAGGGGAGAGGACGTTGAAGGTCACAGAGGAAAGTGACAGGTGCAGAAGAAAGGGACGGTGAGGATGGGTGGGCCTCTCTTCCAGTGTCCTCCATGTCTGTCCCCAGGCAGAGGCAGAGACGCCGTGTCGTTCAGGATTTGGACTTGGATACAGCAAGTCCGATGAGTCCGGCCAGTCCCGCCACGCCCAGAGCCATGCCTCCAACAATGGCCATGCCCACTAGACCATCTGGGGAGAGGAAAAGGGAGACCGTCACGAGTCCAAAAACCTAGTCCCTGCAGGGACCTCGGCCACCATCTTGCTGCCCGCCGCTCAACAGAGGATGTGCCTCTGTATCTGGAGTCATGGGGTGAGGGACCCCTGAGGGATGGAGAAAGAAGGGGGTTTGGAGAGGAACTGCTTGGAAGGCACCATCTGAAGAGAGACCAGAGGGCCCAGGCACGAGGGAAGGAGGAGGACTTAACAGAGTTGAGAGGCGTCTGGGGATGCTGGGGGCCAGGGAGACACGAGGGTGGGGAGTGGACGGAGACGGAGGGAGAAGGGCAGAGAGGACGGCCTTCACCTTTCTTCATGGCCTTGTCGATGAGCTGTTCCAGTTCCTTGGCCTGGTTGTTCTGCGGCTCCGTCTGCAGCAGCCCTCGCACATACTTTAGGGCTTTTTCATATTCCTACACTCAGGGAGAATGACACACACCCCTCAGAATTCTATCCCTCCTCCTACCCATCAGAAGGGCCTTCCCTCTGCTGGCCCCAGGGCTCTTCCCTCTACCTCCACCCCCTCCCTCCCTCCAGCCCCACCCAGTGGAGTAGAGTCCACAAACTACCCCAACTGTGTGGGGTTGATAAGCCAAGGGAGATAACAGCCCAAGGCTTGGGGCTGCACCCCACTGCTGACGTCACACTGCTCCCCACACCCTCGGCATCGGATCCTCTGTCTCTCACCTTCCCTCAGCGTCCTGCTATCACCCTGCACCTCTGTGACGGGGGAGAGAGAGATGAGAGGGAGCTCGGCCACCCAGGCGGGGTGGAGGGGCTGAAGGAGCTCTCCGCCTTACCTTGAGCCGGTAGTTGCCCACAGCCAGGTAGAAGACATAATCCCGCTGCTCCTCTTTGCTCCCTTTGGGCAGCAGCTCTAGGGAGGGGGGAGGGAAGAGGGTAAAAACCCCTTCTCTCCCTTCGTAGTGCCTGTGTCCCAGAGACCCCCTCCACTCCCTGAACACCTACAAGATCCTGGGAGAAAGTCACTGTCCTGAGCCTCCATTTCGGCTCCGGTCACTCCGGGCTTCCCAGCCAGAGCTCTGGGGCAGCATGAACCCCAGCTGCCCCAATGCCCCAGTGATCCACACCCCGGTATCAACACTACAGTCAACTTTGGTTCATCCACGTGAACTGAAAGGAAATCAAGGCACCGGAGAAGCCAAAAGGCATCCCTACTCAGCTGTGGCATCTGCTGTGTATTTTAACTACAGCAGCTTGCTGACCAGAATTGTGTTCAAAATCAGTTTGCACTCCTTCCCCCTTTAAAAAAACAGCTCCAAACTCACCTTCAGTCACCCCTCCCTGAAAGACCCCACCTGACTCTTAGTTCAGTGACTTCCCAGAGGCTCATGTGTTCAGTTGTACTCTGCATTAGAATTTGCTGCTAAGTGGTTTTGCAGGTGTTTACACATCTTCCCAAGTGTCTGTACTGTCTCCTCAACTAGACTGGCAATGTTTAGAGACCAATTCTACAGCTGTGCCCTGCTGTAGAGGAAACCTGAGAAATAGACAAATGGAGGCAGAGATGATTTGCATTAAGGAAGAGTCTTACTTTTATGGATTTACAACAGGCATCCTTGGCTAGTACAGTGATTGCTTATACACCATTACTTGACCAAGAGAAAGGGGGTACAGAGAAATTTAAAGGTCAAGTATTGTGGCCTCTGAAAAATGGTGACCCATCCTAAACCAGCAGGAAATAGGATTCTGATCATAAAAGCACCATGTGCTCACAGGTTTTGGGAACCGTCTTCTGTACTTCTTCCACACCCACCCACCCCCCAAAAGGTTTTCAACAACAGCTGCTAAATAAGCAACACGGTGGGGGTGGGGGGCAAAGAGCATGGGACTGGGACACACAAGCAGGAGATTCTAGTCCCAATTCAGCCATAAATCAACCAGCTGTGTGACCCGAGACAAGTCACTTTCCTTATGTCTAGACTACCAGATCACCAAAGTCCAGTGGGGACTGACATGCTATGACTCTGTCTGGCAAAACCACCATCGATGAGGTGGCAAGCCAAAAGTACAGTGGAAGTCAGGCTAAGTATAGCCCTTATTGCAGTGCGTTTACTGGTAAGTAACTGTGAGGTGACTGCACTATGAGGTCCCATGTTGAAAAAGGATCCCCGAACTTGAGATGGAGGGAGTGAGCCAGGCCAACACTGGCTGAGGACGATGGCAGTTGGGAAGGGGAGAGCTGGGGAGCCAGCCTAGCACCTCACCCTCCAGCAGAGCAAGGCCTTTACGGATGTCATCGTTGTATTTGCTTCGCACCAGGCACCAGGCATATTCAAACTGCGTGCTCTTGGACACTGAGCCTGCTGCCTTCTCAGACTGAAATTTCCTTTCAAACTTCTGCCATAGGAGAGGAGAGGAGTCATTTAGAGGTGAAGGGAGCAAGCCATACTGTAGCAGGACCTGGGTGTCCCTTTCCCCGTTACTCTGCATCTTCCCCTCTGCCAAATTTCGCTTGCGGGTCTTGGGGTCTGGTACCCCAGGTTCTGCCATCTCCATCGCTGGGACCCAGGCATTCTGCTTTTTAGTGGCGGGCTGTCTTGGCCCCCTTCTGCTTCCCTCCCCCTAGTGGTACCGACTGGAGATGCCACCTGCTGGCGGCTCCAGGCACCACTCCCGGAGCAGCTGACCCCGAAAGGCTGAACAGTAAACACGCTGTCAGAACTGCTCAACAACAGCCCACGCGGTCCCTCGTCGGAGACTGCTTCTCCCATCCCCACCCTGCCGGTCTGGACCCTTTCTTATCTGAAAAACGGGAAAAAAAATAGTGCCTACCTCCTACTAGAGCTACAAAGATTGAGATCTCCCCTGAAAGGTCATTAGCACCGTGCCGGATTGTGACTAATATATGAAAGTTTAAGGTGGTCACTGTGTTCCCCCTGCCACTTTAGGAGCACTCAAAATCGGGTGCCCGCACCCTGACCTCCTAGCTCCTGCATGCACTCAGCACCCGTCAAACTCCAGGCCCCCAGGTTGAGGCGTGGTGGCGCAGGAAACTACATCTCCCATTAGCCTTTGGGGCAAAGTGGAACCTCTGGGCAGGAGCCGGACGCTGCAGGGGCTGCCGGGAGCCGTAGTTCGACTTCCCTAGGCAAAGCTGATGCTGGGAAGAGGGTTTGGCCCCTACCCGGGCTCTCCTCAGGGCCCGCCCTTCCGAATCTTCCTTTTCCCTCCCTCAGGGCCGGGCCTCACCAGTAGGTCCTCCACAGACACCAACTCGTTCAGCACGGCCTCCATGGCCGCCGGCCCCGCAATGCTCACAACTCAGACGCTACTGTGCCACCTTCTCCATGGCCCACTGACCGGGGCGGAGAGTCACTTCCGGCGCCCAGCGGAAGCGGGATCGCCCTCCGCTGCGCAGAGCCAATCGCTTTACGTAACCGCCGCGAGCCCGCCCCCCACCCCGTCCCCCGCGCCGCCGCCGCGGAGCAGCGAGGATCACTGATGCGCATGCTCCAACAGATCCTTCTCGTTCGCCCACGGCCCGCAGGCCGCGCGCGGTTCCAGACCTGTCTTCAAGCCCGTCTTCCCGGGTACGCTGCGAGTGCCTCCGTGTACGGAGGCTGCCTCACTAAACTCTGAGACTGTGTCTTGGTGGTTAGCCCCCAGACTGAAAACAGCGAAAAGAGAAGGTGGGGAACTGGGCATGAATCACATAATTTTAGGAACCAGTATAACCCTCCCTCGCTACCCCCGCCTCCGTTCTCCCCTCCCAGATATCTAGGACCCTAGAGGCTACGTGATTTTTCAGTGCCTGCAAGAAAATCATAACTAGTACCAGGGTTTCCAGGGCCCCGGCTGACTCGTATAATGCAAGAGGAAAGAAAACTGATATTTTAACCATACACCCAGGACTGGAATACATAATAATGGGGGATGCTATCAATGGGAATTTAAAGAAAAGCAGTTGCCACTGCTTGCAGAGAGGGTCCAGTCTTCTAAATATTATTTAATAAAGCATCCTCTGGGTGTACCCAAGGGGGAAAGGCCTGCCATGTGGGGTCATGGACGATAAGGAGCTTGGCAGTGAGAAGCAACAAAGCATGGAAAGGGGAAATGCTGCATGCCACTCTGGCATCTGTGTTCTGTACAGTGATGGGACTGGGTAGGTAGTGATTTTCAAATTTCTTTTTACCTTGACCCACAGTGCTCCAGTACACATGTGAATGTAAGTTCCATGAGAGCAGAGACTGTATCTTGTTTATCCGTGCATCTCCAGCTCCGAGCACAAGGTAAACGTTCCAGAAATATTCGTTGAAGAAACAGGAAATAAAGCCGACAACAGTAATGACGGCAGTGCAAGTGCAGGGGATTGTCATCCAAACACCTTTCCCATTTGCAAGACCCCTTGATTTTTTTTTTTCTTTCCTCATAATAGCCTTGTGAGTTAAGTTGGCAAGTTATTCTTCTCTATTTGGCTTGGACGGTTGAAATGATTGTGATATGAGCTCAGTAAACTTTGAGAGAAACCTCAGTTTAGGGAACTGGCTCCATAAGAGTCAAGGAGAAAAATTCACATTCATTCAAAGATGTATTGAGCTTCTAATTTTGGCTGGGCTTTGAGGTAAGCAGAGAGGGTAAAAAGATGTACAGAATACGAAGCAGATGGGTGAAAACAGGACCGAGCACAAAGGGCAGCTACTAGCAAGGCAGGGAATATAAGAAAGCCAAAAGGGCATTATTTCTATCAGGATGTTACTTCCTTCGGGTGGCCTGCTGCCCCTTATCCATGTTTGTATCTGTTGCAGTTCTTGGCACAGGCCTGGCACGTGACAAAAGCTCCATCAGGGTTTGTTAAATGTATATTTGTGGGGGGAAAAGGAATGCCTTACTCACATGGCTCAATTCTGTGCCAGTGAAGACATCCTAAGTCTGAGTTTGTGTTTCTCTGGTCTAGTTAGCATAGCCATCCACCCTGGATCACAGGGATAAGAAGTAGTGCCTGTTAATTTTACATCCAAATTATGTTTCTCCATCTTCTTCAAGCAGCATCCAAATGCAAACCATTGTCATCTCTGCCTTGGGAGACACTGACAGCCAGCTCACTGGTTCCCTGCATTCATTCTTGCCCCGTTACTGTCAATTTACCACCCAGCAGTCAGAGGGACCTTATAAAAACACAATTCTCAATTTATCTGGAACCCTTTAATGCCTTCTCATTGTCCTTAGAATAAAGGCCAAAATCTTGTAGCAAAGCCTAGAAGGTCCTCTCTAGTCTGCTCTGTGCTTACCTCTCTGCCTCATCTCTCCATCACTGCCTCTCCCTGTTAGGCCTTCTTTCAGTTCTGAAACCCCCAGTGGCCACAGGCCCTCTGCACATGCAGTCCCCTCTATCTGGAACATCTTTCCCCTCCCCCTTTGTTTATATGGCTCATTCATTCATCCATTCATTCATGATTTAATTCATTCAACAAATATTCATTGAGCACCTGCTATGTGCCAGGCACTGTTTAAGTGCTAGGGGTCAGTGCTGAATAAAGTTCTTGTTCTCATGGAACTTGCATTTTAGTGGGGAAAACAGAAAAAATACTTGAACAAGTAAATAACTAAAAACACAATAATGGCAGGAGTTGAAAATGCTCTGAAAACAAATAAAGCAGGGGAAAGGGATTGTGAGAGAAGAGGATACTATTGGAGGAGAGCTCAAAGAAGCCCACCCTGGAGAGGTGACACCTGGGCAGAGAACTGAAGGGCGTGAATGAGCCATGCAGGTAAATGGCGGAAGAACATTCCAAGCGGACAAATGGGCAAGTGCAAAAGGCTTAAGGAAGGAACGCACACGAGTTGTTTAGAAAATGAGGGCAGAGAGGTAGCCAGGGGCAGATCATGTAGGGCCTTGTAGACTCTGGGAAGGAATCTGGATTTAATTTGATGAGTGATGGGAAAACACTGGAGGGTTTTGGGCAACACAGTGAAATGATCCATCATAAAGGAATCCCTCTGGTGGCTGCTGTGGTGGCCCAGGCAAGAGGCAGTGGTCTACCGCGGCAGCCGTGGGGGAAAAGGGGTTCAGGGTATATGGTCAGAAGGGAGAGTCAGCAGGGTCTGCTGATGGATCGGATGTGTGAGAGGGAGGTAGGGTGACATAGGTTTGTGCCCTGAGTGACCTGGTGAGCTCCTACTGACCCTCAGTTCTAAGCGCTAAGGCTCTTCCTTAGGGAAGGCCTTCCCTGGCATCAGACTAGGTGAGGTCTCCTGTAGAGAGGCAGAGCATTACCAGTCCTACATTTTCAGAATATAAAACGATAACCCGCTCATTCCTTTCTTAGTTTGCCCTGTGTTTTTGTGAGCCACACAAGTATTGGTTTGGGTATGGTAATAACATCCGCCAGGAGCCAGAGACTTTATTCTGCTCACGTCTCTTCTCTTCCCCCATAAAGGAATGCTCACACATGACCTGTGGTCCAAAATCATACCAGGAAGGTATGAGCTCCGTTTGACCCATAAGGAAACAGAGGCTCAAAAAGCTTAAGTCATCTGCCCAAGGTCACAGAGCTAGAAGTGGAGGAGCTGGGATTCAAACCCGAGTCCTGCTTCAGCTTCAGAGATGAAGAGTCAGTTAAAGAATAAATAGAAAGAAAGGATATGACAAGTTTGTAAGTACTCTCTAGTTTTTCATCTTTAAAAAATGTAGGTGTAAATTTGTAATTTTTTGGTTTTGCATGGTAGAGGACTTCCCTTAAGCAGTAGATGAATGAGGAAGGAAAAATTCAGATTAATTCAAAACAGGCAAAACAATCCTGACAAACCATTTTTTTAGTAAAATACGGTAGTAAAATTGACAACAAAACCCCCCAAACCACCACCAGTGCTGCTGAGATTGTTGTAAAACTGGTTTCTGCCTCTTGGCAAGCGGCCTGTATTTTTAGTTCACTCTATGTGTTAGTTTCTAATTATTGTGTGATGAGCTGATAAATGCTGCCCTCCTGTACTAGACTGGAAGCGACAGGAGGGCAGGGTCTGTCTATCTTGCTCATCTTATGCTCCTGGAGCTCAATGCCTAGCGCCAGTAGATACTCAATTTGTAACTGTTGCATAAACGGATATTGTTGTTGCCCTGATTAACTTTTTGGAAGAGAATCAGGCAATATATAGTAAGAGCTCTAAGATAAAATATTATTTAACTAGTAATCTACTCCTGTGAGGAAAAAATATTCAACAAAAGCCAAAAAAAAAAGAAGAAAGAAAGAAAAGACATGAAGATATTCATTCCTTAAAGAAGATGTGGTTCATATATACAACAGAATATTACTCAGCCATAAAAAGGAACGAAATTGGGTCATTTGTAGTGACGTGGATGGACCTGGAGACTGTCATACAGAGTGAAGTAAGTCAGAAAGAGAAAAATATCGTATATTAACGCATACCTGTGGAATCTAGAAAAATGGTACAGATGAACTTGTTTGCAAGGCAGAAATAGAGACACAGATGTAGAGAACAAATGTATGGACACCAAGGGGGGAAAGTGGTGGGGGGATGGGGGTGGTGGTGTGATGAATTGGGAGATTGGGATTGACATGTATACACTAATATGTGTAAAATAGGTAACTAATAAGAACCTGCTGGGCTTCCCTGGTGGCGCAGTGGTTGAGAGTCCGCCTGCCGATGCAGGGGACATGGGTTCGTGCCCCGGTCCAGGAAGATCCCACATGCCGTGGAGCGGCTGGGCCCGTGAGCCATGGCCGCTGAGCCTGCGCGTCCGGAGCCTGTGCTCCGCAACGGGAGAGGCCACAGCAGTGAGAGGCCCGCGTATTAAAAAAAAAAAAAAAAAAAAGAACCTGCTGTATAAAAAAATAAAATTCAAATAAAAATGATATGAATACCTCTGATCTAGGAATTCCACTGCCAGCTATTCATTAGTGAGAAACTTGCACATGGGCAAAAAACCCTCAAACTGGAAACAACCCAAATACCTTTTATATGAATTTAAGAATGAATACTTTATGGTATATACACATAGAAATGAATATAGAACATTGAAAATGAATGAAGTACAGACACATTTGTCAACATGGTAAATCTAAAAAAATGTAATGCTGAATAAAGAAAATTTATTGAAAAAAAAGATATTCATTCCTGCATATCTGCGAAGGTAAACAAAAAAAGCACCAAGGAATGGTTTTATTAAATGATGGCACATCAATATTACGTTACATCAATATAATAATAAACAGCCTTAAAGTCATAGTCATCTGGATTCTAGGTCTGTGGCTGATAATACTCAAAACAAAGTATGTACTTCTCAAATTCAGTCCTGTGAGTGGGCAGAAAAGAAACGGACATTTTTTGTTGGTGGAACTAAAACCTAGAAGTGGTACTTGGTGGCAGATTCCCTCCCTTGACTACACCAGAAATTGGAGCTTG